GCAGGCAGCCCAGCTGCCATAAGATCTGACCGAGGTACATACGAGCTTGGCGCTGTGCTGCTGAGGAGAAACTGGTGGGCCCCTGCTGACGACCAGCCAACCCACCACATTTAAGTCGGTCCTGTCCCCCAACAGGGGGATTGTCTAGGAAAAATGAAAATACCCAAAACAAATTCCAAAACGGCCAACCAATACCCAAAAAATGTTTCCCTGCCTATTTTTTACTAATTTTGAATATTCCCCCTGTAGAGGGACAGGCCCGACTTAACACCACCTCCTGCGGCGGTGCAGAAACACCTACAAAAACTGCGGGCGGTATGACCCGCACGGATCGATCGGGAACGAGAGGCCCTGCACAAAGACTGCGCCGGGAGTCTCTGCGATGGCACGGCGGCGGGAGCTGATGCCGGCAGTTCGATATCCACCACCCTTTGCGACTCCAGACCAGGAGTCTCCTTCTGCCCCCTCAAGAGCGCCAAAAAACAACCGCCCAAAGGAATGTAACGAAACACCAGCCCGAAACCTCGATCCTCTCCCCTTGCGGGGCTCTTGCCGCAGACGCCTCTGGCAGAGTGTCCACTCGGGCAGGTGTATTCACCGAGGGGCCAGCGGCGGCCAGGACTGCCGTCCGAGCGCACACGGGGCTCGGGCGTCGAGGCCCCTCCTCCTCCTCCTCCTCCTCCTCCTCCTCCTCCTCCTCCTCCTCCTCCTCCCCTGCCCGTAAGGCCAGACCTAGGACAGACGAGCGTCCTTCAAGAACACTAGACCCTCCGCCGGCCAAACCGAAGAACATTCGAGGGGGTGCCCTCCCCCAGGATGCACAGAACACCCAACACGTGCGAGGAACACCAGGAGATCCTCCCCGCACTGACCTCGAACTTCTGCCTCGGTCCGACCAGACACCCCTTGCCCAGGATACGTGGCGGAAGCGCATCGCCTCTTGATCGGACTGAGGCCACTTACGGACCACCTTAGGCTGAGGAGGGGCCTCATCCATCCTCTCCTCCTCTGCGACCACCTTTTGAGGAAGTTTTCGGGGACTGCTGCACGTTCTCTGATGTTGTTGGCCATCTTTGTCGGCGGTGGACAAACCTCCCTTCAGTAAACCTCCCCTTAGTGAAAACGGCCTGGGACCGAAACCGACGGACCTGGACCCGCAAAAATGACGTCCGCGACGCCACCTCACGAACCGAAAACGGCGAATTCGCTAATCGACGTGTCAGGGTAAGAGGTCTGTCCACCCCCGAAACCTCTCCTCCTCTGCGACCACTTCTTGGTGAAGTTTTCGGGGACTGCTGCATTCAGATGCTGTTGGCCATCTCTGGGTATCCGCAAACCTTCTGGAGTCCTCCGACCTTCTGAGGCCCCCTTGGGGGAGCCCATCCCTGCCTCTCCGTGCCGTCGGCAGTCGGTCCTTGAAGGCGTTCAGGCGCGTCTTCAGGTCTCCGCTCGGCTGCTTGCGGTCCATCAGCTCCTCCAGCAGCTGGTTGAGAGGCTCGAAGGAGCTTATCATCGAGTCGTCGACATTCTCGCGGTGCAGGTAGCCGCCTCAGCGCGTGGCCCCATCTCTCGCATCGCCCTGCTGTCTCCGCGCGAGATCCAAGCGAACATGTATCCCCGACACCTCCGTCTGATTACGTGGAACTGGTGGAGGAGAGAGGAGGCAGGAAGAGGGCGAAGGGAGGAGGGAGTACAGAGGAAAAGAGGGAAGAGGACATAGGATGAGGGCGGAGGAGGAGGAGGAGGAGCAGCAGGAGGAGGGAGCACGACGAAGCGAGGAGAACAAAGAGGGTTCCCAGAGGATCGCCAGACGAGGAGTCAGTATGACTCCGCCTGTAGTCGGGATGCGCTGGGGGCATGCATCTTCCAGACAGCGACAGGCACTGAGCTGCGCGCATGCTCTTGACATTATGCTTTATCGTCAACCATCTCTCTTATCCTCCTGCCTCCTCCTCCCCCTGCCCATCCTCCGCCACCTCAGGCGACCAAGGTTCAGACGCGCGTAAGTGCACGACTCCCTGGAACAGTGGGGAGCACAGCTGCGCGCACGCTCGAAACCTGCACGCTGGCAGAAGCCTCTTCGGGAGGGCTCGGTGAGACGATCGCGCCCAAGACAGCACAAACCCCCGGGGGCCCCGTAGGGGCCGTGTCGGGAACCCATCATGCAAACATCTCGATGCTGCGCTGGCACGGCGGCGGGACTCGCCACAGGCAGGTGGAGGTCCCGGTCGGGCCCACCTCTCGACAGATGTCGGACCTCCGCGTGGTCCAAATTTTGCAAATTCGGTCCCCGGACCCCTCCCAGGAGCTCTGTCCTGACCAGTCTTTCGACGCGGATCCAGCCGCGGCGACATGAAGCCTCCAGGAGGGCCGCCGCTGTCTCGACTGGCCCTCCCTCCTCCGAGAACGCCTCCGAACGAACGGCCGGCCCGCTCCGAGTGCGCCCAGAGAGGGCTGGGTTTCCGCAACCGCTGAGGCGGCCGCGGGCTGAGTCCGAGCACCTGTCTGCCACCTGGGAAGCCACGCGTGACCCCTACCCCTGCAGGTCGGAGGACGCGCAATGGGGGGCGATACATGGGGGGGCGCCGAGGGCTGCCGACAAGGCCCTTTAGGGCCGCTGAAAGAAACTTCTCGGGCCCAGAAGGGGGCCTTTCGGACCCGAAACGGGCACCGGTCTCCCCCCCCCCGCCCCAGGTATCGACCCCTCATTAAGTGACGCCCACGCAGGTCAGGGTTCTGAAGCGCCGGCAGGATGCTCAGAAATCTCAGGGCCCTTGCAGGAACATCCAACACCCTAGCGTCTATGCTAGGTCACCTAGCTTCGGGCAGCGCGTCCCGCGAGGCGCGACGCGCGGTGAACTTCGCGCCCTCACGCTCTCGCGCAGCCCCCTGGGAGAAAGGCAGCCAGACCGCGACGCGCGACGCGTGATTGGCTTCGCGCCCCCGTGGGTGACCTAGTCGATTGAACCCGCAGGGGGAGGGAGCAAGCTTCGCGAGTGGTCGCCGTCCACCTCCGCCGCGAGCTTGAGGGGGCCGTGAAACTTGAGGAGCATCGGGTTGCCGAAGACCAGCCCCTCCGCCAGCGCGTGCAGGTACCCTGCCAGCTGGTCCTCGGCGCGCCCCCTGGGCGACGCGACGGACGATCTGGCCATCGACCGCTCGGCGAGTGCCCTCGAGTTGCGGCGGCGCCGGGCTGCAATCTTGGGTCGGACGACGCAGGGGAGTTGGTAGGAGGGCAGGGTTGGCGAATCAGCTGACGCAGCTGGCTTCCCTGCAAGCGTCCCAGAAGAGCGCGAGCGAGAGGCAGCCAAAGAGAGCACCGGGGCAGCAACAAATCAGGGGGCCGCACTCCGGAGCCTCCTCGATATCCGCAGTGCGCGGCGAGCCTGTCGCTGCCAGTGAAAATTCCAGAGGAGGAGGAGGAGGAGGAAAAGGAGGAGGAGTTGGAAGAGGAGGAGGGGAAAAAGGAGCCAGTGGCCAATAGTGAGAAACCGTGTTACGAGAAGAAGACGAGAGCGCATTCTGTGTTGCCAAAAAAAATCGGTGATCGTGCTAGCGTACTGGCTCCTGCTTTGTGACATCCGGTGCAGGTGTTTGGCAGGGCAAGCTCCTCAAAGCCAACAATTCTACCACCCTCCTAGCTCATTATCCTACCCTTCTTCGTTCTTCTGCAACCAACCAACCAGCCACCTCTTAACATCTGGGAAGATGGGGCGTCGCTGCAGCGCGACACCGTCACGATTGAGCAATCCCACAACAAACAGCCAACGCGCCAGAAGCCGACCACTCCTCCAACGATCGGCCAACCCTCGCCTGCACGCACGCTTCAGTGCAGCGCGAATCATTTCCCATCCTCCGTTTCTTCCTCCTTTCCCTCCTCCTCCACCGCCTCGTCCTCCTCGTCCTCCTCGTCCTCCTCCTCCTCCTCCTCCTCCTCCTCCTCCTCCTCCTCCTCCTCCTCCTCCTCCTCCTCCTCCTCCTCCCCCCGAAGCCGAAGTGTTTCCGCGAAGGTGGGGCAAACTCGGGCCAGACTGTGGCAGCCGGCGAACCCTTCCCTGGACGTTGGGAGTTGGAGCCCTGGGGGGACGAGGCCACCTGGCGCTCGGGACCTCTGATCCTTCTCTATTTCTGCCGCTGATTTCCTAGAATAAGCCGTTACTAACAGCTGCCTAACGAACACGAGGAGGAGAAGGAGGAGGAGGAGGACAGGACAGGACAGGACAGGACAGGACAGGACAGGACAGGACAGGACAGGACAGGACAGGACAGGACAGGACATCCGCATAAGGGGGTCAACGTCGAAACGCCCTCAAAGGAGCTGCGGGCACGACTTGCAAAATCCCCTGCGATTCAAGTATGCCGCAGACCCAAACTTCTCATGGGGCCGGCAATGGGCATACCCCGATGCACTAAGGGACGAGCTCCGACGCGGCGTGTCGCGTGCCCATCCCATTGGGGACGCGCTGGGCGAGCAGGGCCCCATGCAGGGGGAGAGCGACGACACAACTTCACTCTACGACGCAGGGGGGACAGAGGGAGAGAGAATGCAGGAGGCCCCTACGCGCCAAGCTTATGTTGGGGGGCCTAATTCATAGTATACCTACATCCTGCTGTGCCCACTCGTCGAACAGTCCCTCGCCCCTCTCTAGACTCACTGCACTTCCTGGACATGCTGGTCGCTGGCCGAACCGTGCTATGTAGCGCCCGACATAAACCCTGTACTGCAACACGCTGCATCAAACTTCTCCGTAGTACTCAAAGTACACCTCTGAGGCACGCCATCCAGTGGGCGCGTAAGCAGGGGCGAGCAACATGATTAACGCCACGGCGTGTGAGAGGCCTCCATATTTGCGACTCTGGTCATGTCCGACTGTCGTTTCACGGGGGGAGGAGCCCTCATGGAGAACTCTCCAGCGGTCTCTGCGGGGCCTTCGTTTCCCACTCGTCGTCCCAGTGGCGGCGCCCACCTGAACGCGTACCTCTCGGCGCTCCTGTCCTCCGAGATGCCCTCGCCAGTGACGGCCCCTTCCGAGCTCGAGCTCGCCTGTCGCGGCCGAGCTCGAGCTCGCCTATCGCAGTCGCAGGCGCAATTTGACGCTCGCACGCGCGGCCGCTGGAGCCGGCCGCCCCACCTGAATCGGCGTGTATATCGAAAATCTCGGCGCCGTCCAGCGGGGTGCCCGCGTTCTCGCGCAGTTCCTGACGACGCTGGAGCCTCTCTACCTCCTCCTTCACGAGCTTCTCGGCGTGCTGCAGCTCTCTCGCGGATACCTCCATGACGCTCTGCAGGTTCTCCAGGTCGTTCTTCGCGACCCGCATCGCAAGCTCGCACTGGCTGCGCGTAGAAGCACTTCCCCCCTGCTGCTTGCCACGCGCCCACTGGGCACATTGCAATCAGCACGCAGCCCTGTACCTGGTGCGTCATCGGGAAGGCAGGCGGGATCAACTCATGCAGTTCCTCTGGGCTCAGCTGCTAGGCCGCGTCGAAGAACTCGCGGCTGTGCTCTTCGATGGCGTCGCCGATCGTCTGCGGCAGCCTCTCACTGCAAGTGCCTCCCACGTGCCACCAAGCATACGCTCCACCACCATCGACGGGCCATTGCGGCGCAGGGGGAACCGCGACACGCAGCCGATCTCGGGCCACTTGCCGCAGTCCTCGTTGAAGTTTTTCTTGACCTCGTCCACCCATTATTTCATGAGCTTGCCCTCGGGGAAGCTCTCCCGGGCAGTCACCGGCGCCTCCCAGTCCACGTTGCACCAGAACTCCCACTGCTCGCCCCGCGAGGTAGCGCCGGGGCCCCTTCCACCACAGCTCGCTGGGAAAGGCTAGCCCGCACGAGCAGGCGCAGTCCTCGCCCATGTCCCAGCCTGCGCGGCCCCTTGCGCACGTTGTGCAACTTCATGTTGCCGCTCCACTTGTCCACATGGTCAATCTCCATCAGGCACTGGGTCTGGTGCGCACCCATGTTCTTGCACGTCTTGCAGTCGCCGCGTTCCTGCAGCTCCTGTGCCTTCTCTTCCAGCGCTTGCTCGGCTGTCTTCAGTGCTTCCCCGTCATCCATGTCCATGAGCATGTACTCGCGCAGCATGATGTCGTACTCCTCCGCGCACTTCAGGGCGGTCATCATGTTCTCCCCCGCCCTGTTGAAGGCCGCGAAGATGTCCACAATTTTCTTGACGCCGTCCACCAAGGCCTTCGACCCCTCCTGGACCGCTCGAGAACCTTTTTGTTTCTCTGGTTGCGCGACTGCTTCTTTGGTTGCACCTCCGCGTCGGCAATCGCCTTCGCTGCTAAAGGCCATGGGCAGCCCTCTCCGTCCTGCACTCCGAGATGCCCTCGCTACTGCAAGTACGCACCGAGGCTGTGGTTGAGCCAGATGGAGATTCGACTTCTCTCTGAAATCCCGCGCTGTGTCCAATAGTCCCCAAGGATACCTCGTAATATTCTGGAGTCGGGGCAGGAAGAGGAGGTGGAGGAGAACGAGGAGGAGGATGAGGAGGGGAAACGAACGAACAAACGAGGAGGAGAAAGATATGGACAGGAGGAGGGGGAGGAGGAGGGCGAGGACAACGAGGAGGAGGAGGAGAGTCAGGTGGAAGAGAAGGGGAGGAGGAGGCGGGGCAGGGGGGGTGGAGGGGGAATTGGGGAGCAGGAAAAGGCAGGAGTTGGGCCTGGGGGGCACCATGACTGCCAGGATCAAATGCCGCCTGTTGCAAAGAGTCCGCCCAAGCACGGCGCGCTGAGACGCGGGCAAAGTACTCGGAGCGGCTGGACATCTGGACGGCGGCCGAAACGACGACCCCTTTCTGGTCGAAGTGCATCCTGCAGCGGCCGCCAAGTATGCGCCAGGCCAACCGTGCGCCTAGTGCACGGACCGACACGCATGCCTTCCTGGCGGCCAGGCCACAAGTGCATGCATGTCAAGCCTTGATGCGGATCGGGAATGATGCCCACGCCGAACACGTGCCTGCACACACGTGTAAACACTGCATGTAACACGCAGCTATATATGTATATATACATACATAGGTATATACATAAGCATAGCCACACCTACCTGCATACATGCATATATATATATATATATATATATATATATATATATATATGCATGCATGCATACATATATGCACACGCGCATACATGCATATGTACATACATACAGACCTAGATAAATGTATGCATATATACATACCTGCATACATACATGCATACATACATGCATACACACATGCATACACGCATGCACACATGCATACATACATACATCTATACATACGTATATACATACATGCATAAGTCTATACGTACATACATGCATACGTACATACATACATACAGTCACACAAACATACATCGACACATATATACATGCATGCATAAAACAATGCATACGTGCGTACCCATATGCACATATATAAGCATACGTATGTACTAGACTTAGTACCACGCACGCGCGCTGGGCGCGCTCACGTTTGAGACAACTCCGAAAGCCGCATCGTCATGATCATCCTCGTCATCTATATCCACATCCACGCCCATGGCAGGCACGCGACACCAGAAACCACGAACGTGGGAATGGGGTCGACGCGTCGAAAGCGTTGTCGGCGTCGTCGTCGGCGTCGTCGTCGCGGTCGCGGGGGGGGGGAGAAGGAAGGAGGGACAGAAGGAAAGGGGAGTGAGGAAGAGAGGTGGAGAAACATCGAAGCAGGGAGGCGGGAACGGCAAGAAGGGAGGGAACAGGGAAGGGAGTGTTGGGTGGATCAGCGGATGAGAAGGGATTCAGATTCCTTCATTGTCCTCCGCCTCCTCATTTGTTGTTCCTCCCCCTCTCCCGCCCCCTCCTCCTCCTCCTCCTCCTCATCCTCCTCCTCCTCCCCTCCTCCTCCTCCTTCTCCTCCTCCTCCTCCTCCTCCTTCTCCTCCTCCTCCTCCTCCTCCCTCCTCGGTGTCCTTATCCTCGCCCTCTGCCTCCGCGCCCCTCCTCCCCTCGTCTTACTCCTCCTCTTTCGACTGGTGGTGGCAATAATGGTCCCGGAAGGCGATACGGGAACATGATGGTTCTGAGAACATCATGATGGTTTAGGCCGTGTTGGGAGCCATCTGGGATGCCTCTTGGCCCGTCTTTGAACGATCTGGGCAAGCAGGGTGGAGGGATCAGCGGCTGAGTAGGGGTTACGCCTCGACTGAGCGGCGGAGTAGCGGCTGAGCGGCGGAGCAGCGGCTGAGTAGTCGTCGGGATTTTCACCGATGTCGTCGTCGTCGTCGTCAGCGTCGTCGACGATGCCGACATCATGATAACATCGCGCCCGCGCAAGTCACCAACCCGTACTGAAGTGCCCGCGCGCCAGCGCGGCCTTTGAGACGCGCTGGGAAGTTTCCACTAGTAAGCGCCAACGCGGCCGCATCATTTGTGCAAAACAAGCTGGCCGATCCGTGCATGAGAGGGCGCGCGCCAGTGCGATCGCGGAGACGCAGCAGCAAGTTCCAAGCGGCAGCCGTAATCGTAGCCGAATGGTCTTCTCGAAACAAGTTGCCGGTGAGAGGGTCGGATAGATGCGCGAGCATTGGAATTGGCGACTGCAATTTCCCATCAGTGATCTGCACACATAGGCTGCACATCCACAGATCGCATTACAGAAATTAGGCATCGATAGCGACAGAGCCTACCACTTGGAACCCACAAAGCTAAGTGCCGATGCAGGCTGTGATAGCCAAGATGATGATCAGACACCCGCGATAGCGACATGGCAGTGGCGACGACGGCGATAGTGATGGCGACGACAGCGGTGCCAAACAAATTGTCCGCAATCATGATAGCGGCGGCGACGACGGATGAGACGGAGGAGGACGGGGAGGGAGAGGAGGAGACGGAGTTGATCACACTGGCCAGGTCTACTGCTGTCCGTCTACAGCATTAGAGCGGCAGGGAGTTGGGACAGACAAAATTGTGTTGCATAGTTGGGGGACCTTCTCTGCCCCGTCGCGTCTCGATCCGCGTGGAATCGGCGTCGAATCCACAGCGCATCCGTGTCCAAACCATGACGAACCCGCGTCTGATACAAAACAAAAACAGCCATCTACACGGCAGGTAAGGTCCCCCAAGAGGCAACCAACGTAGGACAGGAGCTCAGGACGGGCGATCTCAGCGGCCCTCCACCGACAGCAGCCGATTGTACTGCACGCGGTGCGCCTTTGCTGGCGACTCCGTGAACGCGGCGTCCGCCTTCGCCTTCGCTATGTAGGCGACCATCTTGTCGGTCTCCTGCTGGTACGTGTAGCCCGCGTCCCAGTTCCAGCGAGGGTCCCAAGTCCCTCCTCCTCCCTCCGGTCCCGGCTTCGTCGGGTTGCTCGACCCCAAGGACATGTACGCCGGGTCGTCGTACTCCTGATGGTCGATGCCAAAGGGGCTGCGCGAGGACGGCCCATAGGGGATTCCAGGGCTCCCGTATCCATGGGGGATGGGCCCCGCAGTCTTGTCGGTCTCATGTCCGTAGATGTGCGGCCCTGGAGAAGAGCCCGAGCCTGTCCACTTGGCAAGGTTGTCCAGTCCAGGGACATCAAGGTGGCCTTGGCGGGGGTACTGCAGCGCGGGAGGGGGCGCCGACTTGCACCACGTGGGGACCGGAATGCCGCGCTTCTCGAAGTACGCGGGGTTCACCCACACATGGTCATTGTA